TTTGTCCACTTCTAGGTTAAAGACTATTTAGAAAAGCCAGATGTATACAAGTCCATGGGGCTACGTGGGCTGTACCCAAGAGTGCTGAGGGAGTTGGCCAATGTGATTGCAGTGCCTCTGGAAAACTCTTGAAAAAAACTATCTTTGAAAGCTCATGGCGATCGGGATGATTCAAAAGGCCAATACAGTGCTTATCTTGAAGAAGGGGAAGAAGGAGGATCCAAGAAAGTACGGACCAGCCAGCCTCACCTCAGTCCCTGGAAAAATCATGGAGCAGGTCCTCAAGGAATCCATTTCTAAGCTCCCAGACTTGGAGAAGAAGGTGATCAGTCAACATGGATTCACCAAGCGCAAGTCATGCCTGACCAACCCAGTTGCCTTCTATGATGAGATAACTAGCTCTGCAGATGCAGGAAAAGCAGTGGAGATGTATGAGCTGCAGTATGAAAGTGGAGATAGGCCTGTCAAAACTCTCTGGGATATAGTTAGAGGGGAGAGCAACAAGGGTGATGTTATAATGGGTGTCTGCTATAGACTGCCAGACCAGGAGGAAGTTGTGGATGAGGCTTTCTTCAAACAGCTAGTGAAAATTTCCCAGTCACAAGCCCAGGTTCTCATCGGGGACTTCAGTCACCTTGACATCTACTGGGAGGGCAATACAGCAGTACACAGGTTTTTGGTGAATGTTGGGGACAACTTCCTGGTGGGTGCAAGTGCTGAAGCAGCCAACTAGGAACCATACTCTTGACCTGTTGCTCACAAACAGAGAAGAATTGGTGGGGAATGTAGTAGTGGATGGAAACTTGGGCAGCAGTGACAATGAGATTATTGAATTCAGGATTCTGAGGAAAGGAAGGATGGAGAGCAGCAGAGTAAGGGCCCTGGACTTCAGAAAAACAGGCTTTGACTCGCTCAAGGAATTCACAGGCAGGATCCTCAGGGAAGCCAGTCTGTGGGGGAGAGGAGTCCAGGAGAGCTGGCTGTACTTTAAAGAAGCCTAACTGAGAGTGCAGGAACAAACCATCCTGATATGTAGGAAGACTAGCAAGTATGATAAAAGACTAGCTTGTCATAGCAGGCAACTCTTCAGTAAACTAAATCACAAAAACAAAGCTTGTAGGTGGAAACTTTGACAAAAAACTAGGGAGGACTATAAGAGCATTGCTCAGGCATGCAGGGAAGAAGTTAGGAAGGCCAAAGCACAGTTGGAGTTGCAGCTAGCAAGGGATGTGAAAGGTAACTAGGGTTTCTGGAACTATGGTTGGTAGCAAAAGGAGGATTAGGGAAAGTGTGGGTCCCTTACTGAATGGGGAAAGCAACCTTGTAATAGAGGATGCAGAAAAGCCTGGAGTGTTCAATGCTTTTTTTTCACCTCAGTCTTTACAGGCAAGGTCAGCTCCCAGATTACTGAACTGGGCAGCACAACAGAGGAGAGGAAGTGAGCAGCCAACAGTGGTGAAAGAACAGGTTAGGGACTCTTTAGAAAAGCTGGACATATGCAAGTCCATGGGGCCAGATGGGATGCATCCTCGGATGCTGAGGGAGTTGGCTGATGACATTGAAAACAAAGTTTTCATCTTTGAAAACTCATGACAATCAGTAGAGGTCCTGGATGATTGGAAAAGGGCAAACTTAGTGCCCATATTTAAGAAAGAGAAAAAGGAGGATCCAGGGAACTACAGACCAGTCAGCCTCTCTTCATTCCCTGGAAAAATCATGGAGCAGATCCTGAAGGAATCCGTCTCGAAGCACTTGGAGAAGAAGGTGATTAGAAACAGTCAGCATGGATTCACCAAGGGCAAGTCATGTCTGACCAACCTGATTGCCTTCTATAATGAAGTGACTGGCTCTGTGGATGTGGGGAGACCAGTGGATGTGGTATATCTTGATTTTTAGCAAGGCTTTTGATATGTTCTCCTACAACATTCTTGCAGGCAGGCTAAGAAAGCACAGGCTGGATGAATGGACTGTAAGGTAGATAGAAAACTGGCTGCAGCATTGGGCTCAGAGGGTAGGAATCAATGGCTTGATGTCTAGTTGGCAACCGGTATTAAGTGGAGTTCCCCAGGGGTCCATCCTAGGGAAAGTTTTGTTCAATATCTTCTTCAATCACCTGGAAGATGGCATAGAGCGCACCCTCAGCAAGTTTACAGATGATTACCAAGCTGGGGGAGTAGCAGATATATTGGAAGGTAGGGCTATGATTCAGAGTGACGTAGACAGATTGGAGGATAGGGCCAAAAGAAATCTCATGAGATTCAACACAGGCAAGTGCAAAGTCCTGCACTTAAGACGGAACAATCCCCTGCCCCAGTACAGGCTGGGGGCTGACTGGCTGGGCAGCAGCTCTGCAGAAAAGTAGCTGGGGGTTACAGTGGACAATTAGCTGAATATGAGCAAACAGTGTTGCAAAGAAGGCTAATGGTATACTGGGCTGCATTGGTAGGTGTGTTGCCAGCAGGTCAAGGGAAGTGATTATTCCCCTCTATCCTGCACTGATGAGACCACATCTGGAGAACTGTTCAGTTTTGGCCCCCCACCCCACTGCAGAAAGGATGTGGACTAATTTGAATGAGTCCAGCAGAAGGCAGTGAAAATGGTTCGGGGGCTGGGGCACGTGAGTTATGAGGAGAGGCTGAGGGAACTGTGCTTATTTAGTCTAGAGAAGAGAAGACTGAGAGGGGATTTAATAGCAGCTTTCAACTAGCTGAAGGAGGTTTGAAAGAGGATGGAGCTAGACTGTTTTTAGTGGTGGCAAATGACAGAACAAGGAGCAACGGTCTCAAGTTACAGCAAGGGAAGTTTAGGTTAGATATTAGGCAGAATTTTCTAACTAGGAGGATAGTAAAACACTTGGACAGGTTACCCAGAGAGGTGGTGGAAACTCCCTTCTTTGGTGGTTTTTAAGACCCAGCTAAACAAAGCTTTGGCTGGGATGATCTAATTGGGGATGGTCCTGCTTTGAGCAGGGGTTTGGACACAGTGACCTCCTGAGGTTCCTTCCAACTCTGATTTTCTATGATTCTATGATATACCTTGACTTTAGCAAGGCTTTTGATACTGTCTCCCGCTGCATTCTTGTAAGAACACTGAGTTAAGTATGGGTTGTGTGAATGGACTGTAAGGTGGATAGAAAACTGTCTGGATTTTTGGGCTCAACAGGTAATGATCAATGGTTCAAGATCTAGTTGGCAGCTTGTATCAAGTGAAGTACCCTAGGGGTTGGTCCTGCGGCCAGTTTTGTTCAATATTTTCGTTAATGATATGGAAGATGGGATGGATTTCAGCCTAAGCAAGTTTGTGGATGACACCAAGCTGGAGGGTGTAGTAGATATGCTGGAGGGTAGGGCTAGGATTCAGAGTGACCTAGACGAATTGGAGGATTGGGACAAAAGGAATCTCATACGGTTGAACAAGAAGTGGTAAGTCCTGCACTTAGGAAAGAAGAATTCCATGCACCACTACAGGCTGAGGACCAATCAGCTAAGCAGAAGCTCTGCAGAAAAGGACCTGGGGGTTACAGTGGACAATAAGCTGGGTATGAGTCAGCAGTGTGCTTTTGTTGCCGAAAAGACTAACAGCGTACTGGGCTATATTAGTAGAAGCATTGCCAGTAGATCAAGGGAAGTAATTATTCCCCTCTATTCTGCACTGGTGAGGCCACATCTGGAAGACTATGTCCAGTTTTGGGCCCCCTGCTATTAGAAAGGATGCGGACAAGTTGGAGAGTCCAGTGGAGGGCAATGAAAATGGTTAGGGGGGCTAAAGGAACTGGGCTCATTAGTCTGCAGAAGAGAAAACTGAGGGGGGATTTGGTAGCAGCCTTTAACAACCTGAAGGGTGGTTCCAAAGAGGATGGAGCTAGACAGTTCTCAGTAATGGCAAATAACAGAACAAGGAGCCAATGGTCTTACGTTGCAGCAAGGGAAGTTTATGTTGGATATTAGGAAAAACTCTATCTCACTAGGAGGGTGGTGAAGGACTGGAATGGGTTACTTGAAGACATGGTAGAATCTCCATCCTTGGAGGTTTTAAGGCCCAGCTTGACAAAGTCCTGGCTGTAATGATCTAGTTTGCATCTCTCAATCAATCAGTGCAGTCTTCTGGACATTGTCCATCATCTGTAAATTGTCATTCATGCCAAGACACACAGTTCTGACAGTCTAGCTTTCCAGCCGGAAGATTTAAAAGTTTATTTTCAACCACTGTTAAATAAAGAGTTGCCTTTGGCTGTTACTGATGTCTGAACATCTGGTAACAGCTGAGAATCTTATAAGACCATTCCTTCCCACCTCCCTGTTGCAAATTTGAAACAAATGAAATGCACTGAAAGGGACAAATATTTTCCTTGTCATGTTTTTTTCTATTTATTTCCCCAAATAACATGGCCTCATTCTCGCTGGGTTGATCCTCAGATGCCTTGTTTTCTTCCACTGTCATCCAAGTACTCTACTAAATGACAAGGTTTTTGATACTTTGGGGGTCTGTTGAACTCCCACCTTTGGTAGTATGCAGAAGTCCTTGAGGAATAGTAAGAAGTTACAAGTATCTGTGGTTCCTCTTGGTCCATGGTCCGTTCTTGCCTTTCTCACTTCTGAATCTTGAGTTGATTTCTTGTATGACAGGAAGAAGCTTCCCTTTACATGGGAGAGAGGGAAATAGAAGGGTATGGAAAGAAGGGTGGGTGAGTAATCCTGATGGGTGATTCTCACTAGAATCTCAAGGCACAGATGCCTTGAACCTAGAATTGTAGGGAATATGTAGAGGCAACCACTACCAGAAAACCACTGCTTCTGGTGAGTTAGCTGTGGGGGATGGGCTGGGGAGCAGTTTTGTTTTGTTTTTAATTCTGTCCATGTAATGCTCTGGGGTTCTCTGGTGTGTAATGTTTTCTAGTAATGCACATTAATCCTGTTCAAGTGCTAATGGTGATTCTGATAACAATCTTCATAGGATCTATAGAGCTAAGATTAATATTAATTGTCCTTCCAATCATTTAGAGATTAAGAACAGAAAGAGATTCCCTTAAAGAAACGATTGAAGAGCTTCGGTGTGTGCAAGCACAAGAAGGGCAACTCACCACTTCAGGTAAAGCAGAAATGTCCAACTGATGGCCCACAGGCTCCGGTGGGTACCTTCCTTGTTGCCACATGATGGCAGGGGGGAAGGGGGCACGGGTCCATGCACAACCTGCACATTGGGGGATGGGAGTCTGCATGCTGCTGGCACAGCCTGCCTGGTATGGGGGAGGTCAGGGGTCTTGCCTCTGCAATGTGTAGCCCCTGGATGCACTGAAGTTTGACCGCCCTGTGGTAAAGGATAGAGATCTGTAAGTGAATTTTTAGTAAAGAATGTACAGTTTCATGGGAATATAGTAGATTCACCTTTATTTATTATAATAGGCAGGTAATGCATCTGCCAAGTTATAGTCGCAAAATAATTTTCATTATGAATCCTTTTCTTGGCTGTTCAGGGCTTCACAAAATTTTCAGTGTATATCTGGACTTTTCCATGGTGTCTCTACCGTAATCAGATAATTCTAGGCAGTTTTAAGTGATTTTTAAAGTGTGGTGGTGAGAAACCAACTTTGCATCTTCTGTTAGCACTAATATTCTCCCTGCACAGACAGTAGTTTTCTGAAATGTGTATTTTGTATCTGGGTGTATATATATATAGATTTACAATTCTGTTTGCCATATTACGCAAACCATACATTAAACCATAACTTATTTTTTCTCCAAAATGGAGGAAACAGGAACAGAAAGCACGAGCGTGCCTCCATTTCAAACATAATTTCATATTATAGCATGGCATTGTACTACTACTTGCATGTGGGGAAGTACTGTGTCAAATGCTCATTGAAAACTGAGTATTTATGTAAAACAATATTTATTCCCAGTCTGTGTTTTTCTGAAATAGGATTGATGCCCCTGGGAAGCCAGGAGTCTTCTGACAGTCTGGCAGCAGAAATTGTTACTCCTGAAATTAAGTAAGTGAAATCATGCATCTATTCTGGGTAGTCCTTAGAATGAACTTCAAGCATTAACTGTAATTTTTTTTTCAATGTTTCAAGGTTTCTTTAGGATTAATGAATGTACTTTTTTCTCTTGCTTTGGATTTCTACGAGATTCATCTTACAAATGGGATATATACTAGTTTCTTAGAAACATAGCATTCATTCATTTAATTATCCTGATCTAACTTGAAAGGTGACCTGCAATGTATTAAAAAATAAAAGAGGGGGGACATCTGTGCCCCTTTCTCAAGCTGTGCGAAGGCAGAAAAGATAGGTATTTATTTTTCAGTTTTAATAAGGTTTCTCCCCAACCCCTGCTTCATGTAGAAACAGACAGCTGCTAGTCTTGACCTGCATTTCCACTGGGTGGCCAAGTGGGTGGAAGGTGACCTGGAGCTGGAGCCCCATGTGCTGGGGCAGGAGCTGCCCAGCTGCAGCTTCCTTGCATGGCTGGGCATCTGCTGTCCAGCACGCATCCCCAGTGCTTTGCAACATTATCTGCTGCCTGGAGTGGCACAGAAGGGGCAGGAGGAGAAGGAGCTGCAGGGGAGCTGAGCAGTACCTGGGTAGATGTGGCAGCAGTCCCCCTGGAAGCTGTACATACTGGCCAGGGCAGTGTGGTATGGCGGGCATTGGGCGAGTGCAGGTGTAGTCAGGAGCACGACGGGCTACCCTGGATGGGAGCGGGCAGTGTCGAACCCATGCAGAGTGCTGTGGGAGTTGGACCACACCTGCACCACCCAGGAGAGCTCTGTTGTACATCCCCTGCCACCCCTCTATCCCCCCATCCCCAGCCAGCTCCTGGGACCTAGTGCATGGGCAGCCCCCCCACACACATGTACATACCCCCCATCCCCCCCAACACACACACACACATCCATCCATATACAAGAGTAAGACTTTCTTTTGAGCTATTATGCAATCATCTCTATATACACTACTCAAAATACATAAATCAGGACAAAAAATATTTTTTGAAATAAAATTAAAATATGTTATAGTACATGTTTGATTTTTAGTATACGATTTGTTTTTATCTATAATTTGTTAAAATATCTTCTGAAAGATTTTTTTGTGTGTCCCTTGATAGCTCACCAAAACTTGTTAAATGGCCCTGCAGCCAAAATAAATGTCCACTCCTGGGTTAAAACCTTAAATGTGCTGAGCTCCTTCCTGAGGAAAAATAAACAGTACTTACTGCTGTAACTGAATCTAGCATTTTGAAGAGGAGATATTAAATGCTGACCATTTCAGGGACTTCTTTGAGCCCTCATCAGGACTTTGGAATGTATTATTTCTATTTCTCCCAAATCGGGCAAGTCATTTTACAATTAAGAGAGCTCTCATCAGGGTCACAAGGAGCCTACAATCTGAGTGAATTTGCAAAGGCTTATAGCACAGCAAACTGTTCAGTATGATGAGTAGCTCCCTGAAGGCAGTGGGACACCATTCAATTATAAGTACTTATTTTTTTAGACAGAAAAAAGTACTGTCAACTGCAGGACTGAGCTTCATAAAGGAACTTGGAGAAAGCAACTCAGAATGTCTTTGATGTAGGATTCTTGTAGTAAATGGGCAGCTCCCATTGTTTTATCAGGCAGACAAGCTGTTATGGAAAGTGCCATTTTGACAATGATAAGCATACACTTCAGTTTCACAAGCTGTATATTTTGATGATACTCTGAGACTTCATTGACTGTGGCGTAGGTAAAACCACACCTTCGCTTCACAGACTACCAACTTAGCTTGGCACTTCTTTAAAAAGTTATCAATAGAAGTGCACCAATATATTGGTCTGATATCAGATTGGCACCGATATAAAGAAAATTGATTGTATTGGAAATTGGCCTCATGTGACCAGTAATTGGGCTGATAAATGCCCGTGCATGTGTGCAGCTGCAGTGCAGCACTGCACGTAGGCAGCAAGGAGCACAGCCTGGCAGCTTGAATAACTTCATGCAACTGGTAAGTCTGGTGTGGAGGGAGGGGAAGGGGTGTGGGAGTAGGGACAGATCAAGGCCCCTGCAGTGAGCGAGAAGTGGGGCTGGGGCAAGCGCTGTCCAGCTGGGGCGGGCCGGGTGTGGGATGGAGCCACGGCTCATGCAGGGAGGGAAGGTGGCTCTTGCCATTGTGTTGCTTGTTTGGGAGCCACTTGTCTGGCGCTCACCTGCTCATCCAGCACCTCCTGCTGCTGCTCCCACTGCTTGGCTTGTCTTGCCCTGCCCTGCACAGATCCAGGGGCACATGCCCCGTCTGTGCCATCCCGGACAAGTGGTGGGAGCAGCAGCGGAGCCCTCGGACAGGTGCTTCCCAGACTAGTGGCGTGCAGTGGCAGGAGCTGCCCGTTGCCCGTCCCCAGATGAGCCACAGCTGTCCTGCAGCCCCAGTCCCACTCCTCCCTTACCTCAGGGGCCTTGATCTGCACCCCCCCATGCCCCTTCCTTCCCCCCTCCCCTTCCACCATAACAGACTTACCAGCTGCATGCAGCTCTCCAAGTTGCCAGGCTGGTATTAGATATTGGATTGGTATTGGCTGATATGCCTCCTTAAAAATCGGCTATTGGTATTGATCCGAAAAATCTCTATTGCCATACCCCTAGTAATCATAGAATCATAGAATCAATGAGTCGGAAGGGACCTAGACAGATCATCTAGTCCGACCCCCTGCCATGGGCAGGAAGGAGCACTGGGGGTAGCAGGGGTCATAAAACCCCAGCCAGGTGCCTATCCAGTCTCCTCTTGAAGATCTCCAGGGAAGGTAAGAGCACCACCTCTCTGGGAAGTCTATTCCAGGCTCTGGCCACCCTTACCGTGAAGTAGTTCTTCCTAATATCTAACCTAAAGGTTCTCCTTTTAATGTTGACAGAGGCCCAACACTTTTTTGTAATGCCCCTGCAAGTTCGAAGAATTTTATGAACATTTCTGGGGACAAAGCTAACTTGAGCCCTGGAAAGTTTTAGGAAAGGCTGTATAAGAACATGTGTTTTCCATGCACTTGGATTCTTTCTTGTCCTGGAAGCAGCAAGCCCAAAATATGTTCTTGTCCCCTTGACTTTCAGTCCATTGATTGTTTTACTTTTTCTCCCCAAGTTGCAGATTGTTTTTATTATGAAGCATCAGCTGACCACAGAATTAGGTGGCATTCATCGTTTTTCTTCTTATACAAGTTTTTGGGGATCTATGGTCCCCCTCAGTTTAGTTGGTGTCTCTACTATAATGATAGACTGGGTTCAGCAAGACAACTTTATGACCTGCACAGTGTATAGGCAAGGTGTAGCAGGGGCCTAGGACACAGCCCCTGCTAGACTCCTGCGGGAGCAGCAATGCTGGTGGGAAACTTACCGTGGCACACTGGAGGAGACCTTCAGGGAAAAATGGGCTGTGCTTCCCCAGTGTGCCAGAGAGGAGCTCTGGGGGGGGAAACTGGAGCATCACAGCAGCTTCAGAGTCAGGGGAACCGGTGTCCCTGGAGCCAGCACTGATTGGCCCAGAGAGAGTCCAGGCAGTTTAAAAGGGGGGTGCCAAGGGAGGATCGGCATTTGGCATTCCCAGGAACAAAGGTGGTACAGCAGGACTGAGGGGAAGACCTGCAGTGCCGGAGAAGTAGTTAGCCAAACCCTCATGAGACGGGGAACCCTGTTATACAGCGATCATGAGCAAATAGCCGACCCGACCCATCGAGTGAGATAAGTGATACTAGGGTAGTGGTGGGTGATCCACACGAGACAGAGGTCTGGGGATACACCGAGGGAGTACCCCAGGAAAAGGTTTTCGAGCCCACTGGGGAAGAGGGTGAGGACATACCACAGAGATAGGGTTAGCCTCAAGGGGCTCCAAGATAGCCCAGAGAAAGGGGAGATTTGTCTGGACTGACCAGGTAAACAGTCCCCAGGGTTTAAGCAGCTACAAGGAGCTGAGCAGGACTTTCAAACCCAGGACTTACAGGGGTTTTTTCCAGAATATGTGCTATAGACAAAGAGGCACGAGCCTTTTCCTTTATTTTTCTTTTATTTAATGCTCCCAGGCAAGGGAGTGATAAGCAGGGGGGAAGTAAGATTCCCTGTGTACTCCAGTTTGTCATAACACATACCCCTGGACCCTATAGAGAGCTGCTTAGTTAAGAGTCTTGGAGACCAGTGGGAACAGATTTCACCCCATAAGAGCATGCCAACCCAAGGGGGAAGAAAGGTGATGGCAGACTAGATGGGGGCATGTAAACTGGAAGAGAGAGACATATCTGGAAGCGACAGATGTTTTGTGGAGCAAGTAATTGGTGGAGGAGCAGAGGTTCAGTGACTCACCCTCTCCACCAACAGAGAAGTACAACTCGTCACCCAAGAGGAAAGGGGCAGGGTGGTGGAGCCCTGCAGAAGAACAATTCTATAGTCAGGCAGACCAACACTCAAGATACCATTCATCCTTCCAACAATTACCATAACATCAAGATATGGCAGGAAAGAGGGAAGGAAGATGAGGCAGAGGTCCTGGGGATCATAACCTGGAAATGGGGAGACTAGGGGAGCCACATGCCCACACAAGGCATCTGCAGCAGACCCTGATAGCCATTATCTTTAATGCTTCAGTGAGCATCTGTGAATCTGTACTTAGGAGGTTACTCAAGGACTGCAATTGAAAGTTAACTAACTCTCCTAACTCTTTGTGCATATTGATAGATGTCATTAGTGAACACTGAATTCTAAACCACATCCCAGCTATTTTGTAACCATAGTTAACCTACACACAACTCCAGGTTCTAAGCAGATTTAGTGATTTTTATAACGTTGTATTACGGAAATTTAAATGTGTAATTTTGTTTCATGTATTTGTCTCTAAAACTGAGTAAGGAAAATGTGACCTATATGCTATAGTCACACTTCCTGAGGTAAATTGTTTTCCTCCGTACGGGGCATGTCTACATGAGATGCTTACTGCACATTGGCCTAATAACACTGCTCAATAGTGCGAACAGTAGTGTTATTAGGCTAATGCGCAGTAAGCGTCATTAATTAATTGTGTGCTGGTGTTAACGCAAAGTAACTTTAGGTACTGCTCATTTAGTTCTTAATTTATTAAGAAAGTAATAAAGTAAATGCAGAGGATCCAAGGCACATTAATGAAGTGCAGATGCCCCCACAGAGTGGCAGGATTTTTCTAGCAGCCTTTTTATTTTGTTTCCCAAGGGAGAAACTCATTCGTCTCCAACATGAGAACAAAATGCTAAAGCTTAACCAAGAAGGTTCTGACAATGAAAAGATTGCCTTGTTGCAGAGCCTGCTAGATGATGCAAATCTGCGGAAAAATGAACTGGAGACCGAAAACAGGTAGGAAAATAATTGTCTCTATTCCAGCGCATGCTTCCCTAAATATTCATACGTTTTAATTTTGTGCAGCCTGTTGTCATCATTTGGAGCCTAAATGAAGGTGCGCTGGCTCCAGGTTATCAGCAAATCTCATTTGGTTAATTCTTGCCATGCAGGGTTTTCTTGTTACTTGGAGGATTAAAATCAATGGAATTGGGTCTTGGTTGTCTTCTCCTGTGGAAACAATGCAAAATTTGGGGTCCCAAGTACTGGTATTTCTTAGTGAAAACTTTAGAGTTTTGTCAAGAAGCTGTTTGACCAGATAGACTTCTTCACTCAATTGACAGGTTCTGAATTAAAAGAAACCTGATGACTGAACTTTTCTATTTAGGATATGACATTTTGAACATATTCCTTGTTGTTCCACATGGTCTAACCCGTTGGGGGCCAACCTTTTTGTCAGACATGCTGCAAATTAGCCCTGCATTCTCTCTGAGTGCCACTCCGATCCCCTTCTCCTGCCCAGTCTCATTTATGAATTACCTCTGCAGATCTCTAGTGCAGGAAGCTAGCAAGTAATAGTGCTACACTCCAGCAAGCGACCTGGTGAGTAATTCTGAATAAACATCAAAGAACTACATCTAAGTTTTATCCTAGAATAAGTGTGCGGTGCTTAATAAATAAATTACTTCCCCTGTGGCCATCACAAAGATCTCATACACAGCTGTATCTGTGACAAAAATCAGCAGTAGCCATGCAAGCTATAAAATGTATCATACTGGAGTTCTGTCTCTGGAACTCCAGTACGATCATAACACATCTACATCCCCAACTTCATCAGTTAGGAGAGTCTTTGTGGAGAAAATGCGCTTTCTAAGGATCCGTTCCTATAAGCTGCAAAGCATTGTAAGGAAATTAAGAAAGGGTTTAGTTCTGCCTAAAAAAGGTCTTTTGGACCATAAGGTGTATGCTCATGCCTCATCCAAGAGTTTTCACCATATTTGTTCAGAAAAATCAACTGCTTTACTTTTAAATCAACTCTTACTTTTTTTTAAGCCACCACTAAGAGTTATCCTGAACTTCCTGACTATACTGCATGTTGTTAAATGGTAGCATTATTAAAAAAAATTTCTATTAATATTTTTAAACATATAATAGGTTTAAAATTATTTATTTTTTAAAACTTATTCTCCCCTTGGAAGGGACAGGCATCACAGTTTCTCTTCATGAGAAAAAACAGTAGTAGCTTTGATGCAGCAGGAATGAGTGTTACAGCTTCCTGTGGTGCTGAGCTAGAAGTAATCTCTGGGGCATGCATCCATTCCAGTAATCCTGTCTGTGCCTGAAGTGTTCACCACTGGAGTTGTTTTGGGGGAAGAGCAGAGTAATAAGGCCATACTTTCTGTAAATCCTGTTGAGACTTTAAATAAATTCAGTGTAACTTTGCAACTTGCATGTAATTGGGCCAATTCTCATGGGTACAAAATGTGTGCCTCCAGATTTGCAATGTACTGAAATGTTAGTATATTTAAAAAGTATACGGAAAAATAAGTTGTAAAAGAGAGAAATAATTATTTAGGATTTTATCTCTTTTTCAGGCTAGTAAATCAGAGACTTCTGGAAGTACAATCCCAGGTTGAAGAATTGCAGAAATCTGTGCAGGAACAAGGCTCAAAAACTGAAGGTGTAAGTAGAAATGCACACAAAATCTGTATTTTGATATCCACAGTTATCCTAGGTGCCTTTCATGTGATGGTAATTCCATGCTATGCCATGTCATGAAGATATAGTGGAGTTGCAGATCCCAGGTCCTGGTGCTTTGTTTTCCTAGTTTTAGTTTAAGGGGGTGACCTAAATGGAACTATGCCTTCTCTTTGTAAAATGAGACACTTGCCTAGAATAGAGAAAGGAGTGAAGTATGTTTCATATTTGTTTCATTTTTCTGCCTCTTCCTTTGGTAAATTCAGCTTAATTTCTAGTTCTCCAAAATTAGGATTCTAGGAAGTTGAAGTTAATTGACCCCTCAGTTTCAGCATTAAGGGTAACACCAGCTCTTCAGATAACTGTGTAAGACAAGCAGAAGGAAAGTGTTTTCCTTCCCAGGAAAGAGAGCTTTCAGTGCCAGCATGCAGTCTGTGACTTACACCTATGCTTTGGCAAGAGCTGACCACCTTTACTTAGTATTAGTGAAATTATTTGAATATATATTTCTCCGCACTTCTCTGTAGATTCTAATCTTCATTAAAATTAAGAAGATAGGATGCACATGGGACAAAATAAACTCAAAATATACATGCCTGATAATGGGCTCTGTTAATTGTTACCACACAGGAATGAGACTTTGGTATCTTTTTGGACAGTTTGCAAAAAAAAAAAAAAATATCAGTGGAAGTTTCAATAGAAGAGGAATAACCTGTGAAAAATTTTGGATGTGCCCTGTTTGCCCCTGCCCCTCACCTTCCCCCACTGTGTAAAGACACAGGATACTGGACTAGATGGACCAATGGTAATCTTATGGTTACCCCTAAATTCCTGAGATGAGACCTCAGAAAAAATAGATGTTCTCATACTGAATGTCTGTACTAGAAGCTAAAATTAGTTGATGGCTATTTTAATTGGTTGTCTTCCAGGGTTTCAGGTGGGTATCCTCTAAGCATGCCTGGCAATCAAAGATCTGTTTTTATTTTTAATTGGAATTATTGGTAAATCACCATTGAACTCAAGTCTCAATAGGAAAATTCCCATTTAGTGAAACAGAATTTCACCCTTTTTAAGCAACTGATGCTCCAACTTTAGTGTCTAGTTAGTTTTCACAAAGAAACATCAGGAGTCTGTCCAGCTGTTGTCTTCGACTTTTTAAACTTACCATTACTGAGTTATCATATTTATTAAAATCTAAGTTGAGGTTTTTTGACCCCCAGTTAGCATAGGGAAGAAAAAGCTTCCTCTTGGATCTGAGTTTAGGCCACAAGACAGGTGGTGGCAGCTCAGCTCCAGCTTTGACTCCAGTTCTGGAGCTGAAGCCAGAGGCAAGGTGCTGCCTGCCCTGGGCTGGAATGGCTTATTTGGGCAGTAGAAGGGACATACAGCCAGGGGCAGCACAGAGGAAACTGGGGGGTTGGGTGTGGGGGGATGCATTTTCTCCTTCCTCCCTGTCCCTGTGCCTCTCCTCTCCCCTCTTACTTTCTGCTCTGGCTCCAACTCCAAACCAGCCTGGCTGGGAGCTGCTGCTGCTTCTCCTTGGCCAGAATGGGCTGAGGCCGGGCTACAGCCATGCTTCTGCTGGCTGCCCCAGAGGAGCAGAGTTGCAGCAGAAGGGGTTGAACAGGGGGCTGGGGGGAGAGGCTGCAGGAGAAAATGGTTGGGAGTCAAAATGCAGGGAAAGCAGGGAGTAGGTGGGCAGACTGCAGTGGAGAACAGGGGGAGGTAGGCTTCAGGGGGCAGCAGGAGGAGGCAGGCTACAAGGGGAAGAAAGGGTGGGGGGCAGGTGTGGCGGGTGCAGAGATCCCACCTCAGGAACACAGCTGGGTATTCGTATCCCTCTGCTGTTTCCACCACGTGAGGCGGGCCAGTAGGGGGTGCTCCTGCGTTGAGCCACCCACCTCCCTGCGCCCGACCACCTTCCAGGCTCCGAATGCCTCCCTAGGGGCGCCTTATGTCCGGCCGACCCCTCTCCCGGAGCACACTCGCTAGTCTGGGGGTAACGTGCCGCCACCACCCCAAGAATGGACTGTCTCGCGGCCCTGTGTCCTTGGGGTAACACAGGCCTAAAGTCCCACGGGTACTCAACCCAGTACAGGCACTTGGGGTACTTCCCCAAGTCCGGGGGCAAAAAGGTATAGTCTCCCTTAGTCCACAGACCTAAGGGGTCTCTTAGGCATAATTTAGACCCACCCCTCAATAAGTCTCCCACACCAGTCAAAAAGGAGAACTTTATTGATTACAGGGGGTAGGGTAAACTAGGGTACAGGATAGAGCAATATCTAGAAATCCTAAAGAGCAAACAGTCTGGCTGTGGTAGCCTTTTGATTACGCATCTGTGATACTTCCAGCTAAATATCTAATCAGATTGAGTAGCTTACTCACAAGCATCTTCCAAAGGCAGGTGAAGTTTCCCTTTGGAGGCAGGCGGTTCCTAGCTCGTGAGTTTGGGGGGAGAGAGCCAGTTTCAGATGTTAAGGCTTCTCTGTCCCCTGCCTGGCTGCTGCGTCACCTCATGGCCGGAGAGGAGAGCCCGCCTCCTTCCCCGTCCTAACTTATATAGCCCCTGTGACCTCATTCACCTGGGCCAGCGGAGGTCAGCCCCAGTTGGCTGTCAGCCAACCAATCTGAAATGCATCACCTGTTACCGGGCAGATTCCAGCTCCCCAGGTAGAAACCCCTCACCCAGGTAAGTGATGCAAGTCACGTAAGCAGAGGGAGCAGGTTTCCCCCTCCCTCAGGAATGCAGCCAGCTCAAGTTCCCGAAAGAGACAGGCTGAGGGTGTGGTCCCCTGTGTGCTGGGCCCATCCTAACTGAATGGTCACAGCACAGAGATTTAAATCACAGTGTCACAGGGCAGAGATTTTTGGGGAGAAACCAAGGTGGCTTTCTGCCACAGCAGGTACAGGCACAGAGGGACAAGACAGCATGGTGGGGGGGCAAGCACACAGGAACAAAGAGTAGGGGGAGCTAGGGGTAGAAGGTTTGGCCCCTTGCCCCTTACCACTGCTTTTTGCACCATGGCAGTGCGGGGGGGCAAATTTAAGATTATCTTTGATTCCTTAGATTCTATACATTGAAAATTATAGCACATATATAATTTCCATGTATAGAATATAATTTTTTGAGGGGAGGAGTGTCAGTTGTTTTAAATTCAGAGTCATTTTGAATTTCAGTAAATATAGTCATTTCTTTTTATATGAAAACTTGGAATAGTATTTTAAACATAAATGGCTCAGTTGACATAAGCTAAAAAAATCACCTTTTACACTTCATGTTACTTTGTTTAGAAACCCAGAGAAGTCCTGAATTGATGACAGTCAAATTATCTACAAAGCACATTTATTTTAGCAATTGCAACAGTTAACAGAGAAAGCTTTATTTTGCTGGTTTAATGTGTATATTCAAGCAACATGTGTTAGTGAAAATCATTAGTACTGGAAACACTGTAAATAAGCATCCAATTTAATTCATTTTATTAATTTTAAATCCCTGGTAGTCATTCTGGATGAGACTTTAATCTAGAAAGTGATTTTTGAATATGTCTACATCAGAGTGACCCCAGCACCTCAGCAAACCTGAGTGAGTTTGGGCACACAAGAGGTGGAGCTGCAGGGTTATGGGCTTCAAGTAGAGCTGCACAAGTCTACCTGAACACCTAGCCACTTGTATCAGAGTCTGTGGTACGGGACAGGCTGAAGCCCATACTGCTGCAATTTTCTGCTGCTGATAGCCCAGGCAGGATCCAGCATGCCATCTTGTGTTGCACTTCTACCTCTGATTGCAGGGTAGAATCATAGAACAGTAGGATCGGAAAGGACTTTAGGAGGTCATCCAGTCCAGCCCCCTTCTCAGGGCAGGAGACCAGCCAAAGCAGCTCTAGCAAGGCATGCTGGGCAAGGAGCTGTGCTGGGGCTGGGATTTTGCAGCTATGATAGCATAGTCCAGTGCTGGGGCACAGCTGCCATCTGCTACCTATTCCTGTGGATCGCAACTCTGCCCTGGCTCCTGACCACGCTGTCACGGCTACAAAATCCCAGCCCCAGCACTGGAATAGCTATCTGTCCAGCCGCACATCCTGCCAGCGCTGCTTGGGCTGATCTCCATGGAAACCCCACCCCGTCCCTCCTGGGATCTCCATGGGAACTGGCCACAGTAATGTGGGCAGGGACTGCTGGGAAATGGAGTCCAGCTACCAGCTGGATCTGCCATTTTGCCCACCCCTGGGCTTGTGGCAGAAAGCCACCTTGGTCTCTCCCCAAAAATCTCTGCCCTGTGACACTGTGATTTAACTGTCTGTGCTGTGACCATTCAATTAGGATGGGCCCAGCCCACAGGGGACCACACCCTCAGCCTGTCTCTTTAGGGAACTTGAGCTGGCTGCATTCCTGAGGGAGGGGGAACCTGCTCCCTCTGCCTACGTGACTTGCATCACTTACCTGGGTAAGGGGTTTCTACCTGGGGAGCTGGAATCTGCCCGGTAACAGGTGATGCATTTCAGATTGGTTGGCTGACAGCCAACTGGGGCTTGACCTCCGCTGGCCCAGGTGAATGAGGTCACAGGGGCTATATAAGTTAGGACGGGGAAGGAGGCGGTCTCTCCTCTCCGGCCATGAGGTGACGCAGCAGCCAGGCAGGGGACAGAGAAGCCTTAACATCTGAAACTGGCTCTCTCCCCCCAAACTCACGAGCTAGGAACCGCCTGCCTCCAAAGGGAAACTTCACCTGCCTTTGGAAGATGCTTGTGAGTAAGCTACTCAATCTGATTAGATATTTAGCTGGAAGTATCACAGATGCGTAATCAAAAGGCTACCACAGCCAGACTGTTTGCTCTTTAGGATTTCTAGATATTGCTCTATCCTGTACCCTAGTTTACCCTACCCCCTGTAATCAATAAAGTTCTCCTTTCTGACTGGTGTGGGAGACTTATTGAGGGGTGGGTCTAAATTATGCCTAAGAGACCCCTTAGGTCTGTGGACTAAGG